GAGCAGAATGAAGTCCAAGCAGGGAAAATAAAGGAAAATGGGCTGTATCAGGCGGTTTTGGTGCTGGACTAGGCAGGCACCTGGTTCTGGCACCTTCTCCATCGTGAGTGTTGCTGCTCGTCGGCCGTGTGCTCTGCACCGTCGCTGAGTGCCCAGGAAGATGTGCAGGGTGCCCCGGATGACACGTCCTCAGCCCCACACACTCCTTTTCCTTGAGAGCTCAGCTTGGGTCGGACATGACTCTGCTTTTGTGGTTATTTGGTGGCCCCTAGTTCTGCAGTGTGGGTGCCTTGTCTGTGCCCTCCCTGCACCCCAGAGTGCAGCCCTGTGACTCTGAGTGGGTGGGTCACGGTCCTCAGGGAGTGCAAGGGGACGCTGTGGTGGCCACAGGAGGGCTCCTGCCTGTGGCAGGCTGAGGAAGGCCCCTGTGACCTGCAGGGCTTCCTCATGCACAGCCCGGCTGAGCACCCTCAAGCTCGAGCTGGAGTTCTTTACGTTACCATCACTGTGATTTTACCAGAAGACAACGAAGGGCCTGGTGCATCAGGACAAGTCAGCTCCTAGGGAGGCAGCTTCCCAGGGGCTTCCCAGGGGCTGACTAATCCCCTCCCTCTCATTGCTCTGTCCAGTGCCTGTGCCTTCGGTGTGGTGTCTACTGACACAAACAGGAGGAGACAGAGCAGCTTGTCTTTGACACTCTGTTACAGAGCCCCTGGGGTGAAGGCGGTCCTGCCAACCACAGGACACTGTTCCCCGAGCAGCCTCACTGGTGGGTGAGTGACCTGAGTCTCTGCCAGCTGCTCCTCCACGGCCAGAGCCCGCACCCTGCCTGCCTTCATGGAGTTATGGCCTTCTCCTTTCATCACGTGCAGGGGTGTCAGGCCCGTGAGCAGCGTCCGTTTCCTGCGAGGCCCTGGTGTGGGCTGGCATCCGGGCCCCCGTCCCTCTCCACGCCTTGGTGCATCCCTGCTCCCGTGGGCACATTGCTGCGCTGGGACGTGCTTGGGCTTTTGAGTCCCGCACGCGCTATTTCAAATGGCTTCCACCTCTGCTTCACAACTGTGTTTTCCTAATGAGTAAGTGGATTATGTTAGCTATCGATTGCATTTTAGGTGGATACAAGGAACCTGAAAAGCATTTATTTTAAAGGGCCTTGGTTTAGGCATGGTTGAGGTTCACAGGCCAAAGAAAAAGTGTACTTACATAGTTACTGCTTAGTAAATAACTGTTTGATGTGTGGGTGAACAGAGCAGAAATTGAAGGCTAACTTTCCACAGAGCTGAGAAACTGCACTGTCCCGAAGTACAGGGAGGAGCTGGGTGTGTCTCTGCTCGCACGCAGCCTGCCTGGGGCAGAGAGGGCAAACCTTTCAGAGCTTCCAATGGCAGCAAGACCACCTAGGGCGGCTCGCGTGCCACAGGCTTGCCACTACTGGCCTGGGGCAAAACATGCTGGGGGGGAAGGGGGAGACCAGACCAAGCCCAGCACTGGTCGATATGTAATTTCAGTGCCCTGGGCTTTACTGAAGGATTCAGATGCAAGCCATCACTGCGAGTATTGTCAGAAAGTTAGTGATCGTGTTATAATACTACTCATGTGTGGCATCTAAATAATGCTAAACTGGGGCTGGGGATTTAGCTCAGCAGCATAAGCGCCTGCCTTGCAAGCAGGCAGTCGTAAGTTCCATCCCTGGTACCGATAAAAAGAAAAAAAGAAAAAAAATAATGCTAAACTACTCCATTTATGTGGACTTAAAAATGGGCCTGGTGTTTTAGAAGCTAGCTGTCTTTAAAAAAATACAGATAATACAAATTTTCCGCTGGAAATGCAGTTAATGACCCTCTGGAAGTTGCCAAGGCCCTTTATGCCTTCAAGTTAGCCAAGGTTTCCTCTTGAGAAAGATGTGATTATTTGAGAAAGAAATGTGGGTAAGAAGATTTTCCATATTTAACTTTCAAGTTTAATTTTCATTATCGTTGAATGCTAATGGTATAATTTTATATTTTCTGCAGCCTTTTCTACAGTTGTATTTATTAAACTCATCCGCTCCATTCTGTTATTTTCCGTGGACACTTTGTCCCTAAGGAATTCTTAAAATATCTTCCACGCTTTGTGCTTTTCCTTGAGCGTGGAGTGTCAGGTATTAAAAAGACTCATTTAAATTCTATTTCTGTAGTCTTCAGAAATATTTTATTACCTAGAGCTAATAACTAATTCTAAAATGTAACAGCCACTAAACTTATTTTTAAAAGTGAACTGTATCTAAAATTTCAAAATCCCTATGGCTCAAGTGAGTATGCCCAACAGCAGAATCATGTTTATTTTCTTACAAAACTTATATTGTGTAGTCGCATTATATCATAAAGAGTTCTGTTGTGGTTCTGTGGCTTGAACTCAGGACTCTGCACTGAGCTGTGTCCCTAGCCATTTTTTAATTTTTAGTCTGAAACAGGATCTCTTGCCTAGGCCGAGCTCAAACTTGCCATCTTCCTGCCCTGGCCTGCTGTAGTGCTGGGGTTACAGATCTCCATGCCTGTTTGTGGAATAAAGATTTTAAAAGCAGTGTTTTATTTGTCTGGGGCAGCGGACAGAGCTCTGTCAAACAGACTGTTGGTCCAGGCTACTCTATTAGCAATCATCCATATTGCTTGATGATTCTTAGAGTAAAAGTTGAGCTTTTGAAGTGGCCGATAGAAAGCACTGGAGATTTCCAGTAGCAAGATGTTAAAAGCTGTAAATCTGGGCCCTTGATAACTCAAGGCAGGGGACGCCTCCATCTCCGTGCAGCTTGGTATTTCTTATGTGATGTGCAAGCGGGACTCCTCGCACCCTGTGACCCTTGCTCACTTGGGTGACCCCGCACACTGTGCGCTGCATTGGGGGAGCGCAGGGCCCAGGCCCCCCACATGCCCAGCAGCAAAGTGCCAGTCAGAGGAAACACTGTCATGATGCCACATGCCTTTGCTCTGCTGTTTTAATTTCTCAGTGGTCGTTTCTGCTTCTTTGGGGCAAAGCCTTTATGCTCTGAACTGATACAGTGGTTCTTAAGACACAAGGCTTTGCACTGGAGGGGCAGTGGTTGTGCGGCCCCCCAGGGTGTGGCCAGCACAGGGGACCTGGAGCAGATAAACCACTGCCCGGCTGCTCCTCGCCGCCCCTCACCACGGGCGGAGCCTGCTCTCTGGCGAGCTTTGGGGAGCTCGGTGGGCAGGGAGTGTGTGCGTGGGGACGGAGCTGCATTTGTTTATGTGCGTAGCTGGGTCTGGGTAAGGCTCGCTGCATTCCCAGAGTCCCAGTGGGCTGCTTCCAGTACCTGTGGCACAGGGAGGAGGCCCCCGCATTTCCTGCACAGGACAAGGACACAGACACGGGACACGACGTCCTGCTGTTGCAGGCACTCGCACCACAAGTGCAGACAGAGCCAGGCCTGCGGAAGGTGGCTGAGAAGCAGCCCCGAGGCCTCTGGTGAGGTAGGCAGCGAGACTGTCACCCAAACGCTTTTCAAATGGGAGGAGGGACTGCGTTTTTTTTTTTTTTTTTTTTTTTTAGCAAGAATAGAAATAATGGAAGTCCCCAAACCTCTTCTGCTGGGCTGTGAAACATGCAGGAAGTGAGCAGTTTGGGTTCGGGTGGCGGCCCCTTGTGGTTGTGCCCGATGCGTGGGCTTGGTGCACCGCATCTTCAGCCCACGCAGCTGCCGTTGGGTGCTGTGATAGCATTTTATCGCCGGTGGCTAATGCGGTGGGCACTGTGGCCGTGTGGTAGCCGTGTGGCTTACGGTTTAACGTGTACCAGGTCTTTCCTGATTTCTAGGCAGCGCACTTTAATGGAGTTGGAAGGATTTGGCAAAGGAAGCTTCATGTTTGTGTTTTCAAATATTAATCAATAATGTTTGGGTGCAGATTTCTGTGACTCTTGGTGGCTTCCCCGATGGCAGTGTTACTCTCTGGATGCGGTGAAATTGCTGTGGATCCCTCTCAGCTGCGGGCCACCCGGGGCCGCCTGGGCCCACATTTCCCTTTGGTGGACGTGGCTTTACCCCCTTTTCTTGCAGCTCCGAACTCCTGTGAGTCTAGAAAGCCAGCAGCAGCTTGACATTTCTCTCCAGTCTGCTGTTCTGTGGTCTAACTGTACGTTAATTTTGCATTCCAAGCTATGCTGGGCAGTCCAAGCTGCCCGGATTGATTTTTACATACGAGATGTGTTTCAGTTTGTATACCACCAAGTAAAATGACCCCTCTGGCTTCTCTCTTTCTCTTCTAAGATCTCTGGAAAACAATTTAAAACATACTTAAGACTGCCCTGTAATCTCATCAATTTGGGAGGCTGAAGCAGGAGGATAATAAATTTGAGCCCCATCTAGACAGCTTAGTGACTTAATAAATTCCTGTCTCAAAATAAAATAAAATAAAATAAAATGGCTGGGAATGTAGCTCAGTGTGAAGGCCCTACACAGAAAAGGAAAAAAAAACAACACAAGTCTCAGAGTATGCCTAAATGCACGCGACTACTTTACCTTGGGTGAAATGGCCCGTGGGTCGAGCTCTCAGAGGGAGGTGCGGCATGGGTGGCTTGTTGAGTGTTCATGACAGTGGACAGAGAGGTTGCTTGATGGCTGGAGGAAGTGGATGCCCAGGGGACGAGAGGAGACAGCAGTACAGCGCAGGGCCGGGCTGGCTGCACTTTCCTGGCTCTGGTGTCCAGGTGGGGAACCACAGTGTGTGATTCCATGAGCCAGGGGACAGCAAGGTCCTCCCATTCCCCTTCTTAAAACACATAAAAACCAAAACTGTACACGGAGGTCTCACTGTGAGCTCTTCCATGCGGTTCACGTGTTGCCTCTGCCGTGTGTTAAGTTTCACGTCTGAGCTCTCCGGGCGGACGTGTTTCCTGTCCGTGTTGTGCAGCTGGCCCGGGCTGTCGCCGGTTAGAAGAGATGATGGGGTGGCGTCTGGTGCACTGGTACCAACCGTTTCCTGCAGTTGGCCATTGTTTTCCAGAGAGACTGGCTTCTGTGTGCTGAGCAGGTACCATCTGGCGGTCAGCACGGGTGCCACGTCTCAGAGCAGGCGAGGTGTCATTTTGGCTGTGGCAGTGCGTTTAGTGACGGCCTTGGGTACCAGTGGAAGGAACTGGATATTTCTGTGGGTTCCCTGGTCTCTTGCAGCCTTTAAAATGCCTGACGATAATTTCAAAACTAGGTGAAAGGAGAGCGCTTAGCAGCATTGCTCGAGCGTGACGTGAGAGTGGGCACACGGGGCTTCTCCTGGCCTCGGCCGCACGGGGCACAGAGCCGCACCAGTGTGGGGGGACAGAGCCACATCGGGGGTGACAGAACCATGCCCGTGGGGGGGGGGACTGAGCCACGTCAGTGGGGGACAGAGCCACGTCACAGGCCACAGAGGCCACTCACCTTCCCGTTGTCCGTGTCGCCCGTTGCAGGGACAGGGAGACCTGCTGAAGAGCGCCAAGAATGAGGCCCTGGAGAACATGAAGCAGGTGCAGCTGGCCTGCCTGGCCTGCGGGCTGAGCAGGGCGCCCGGCGGCGGGGCCGAGCCCAAGGGCAAGCGCAGCCTGGAGGCCATCGCGGAGAAGGAGGGCAGCGAGGACGGCGGGCGCCCCTGACCGCCCACCACACCGCTCTCTGCACGTTGCCGGGATTCACGCGAGGCGTGGGACAGCAGGGCGCTTTCACCGTGTCAGTATTTCAGTGTAGCTATTTATCTACGTCCAAGCCTACGGGAGCAGCGTTTTAAACCCTGAGCTGTGCGCTCACCCCAGTGTGTGTGTGAGAGAGAGACAGTACCTAAACCCATTCCGTGTTGCATTACTCATAGTGTTCATTTAGTAAATTATTCTTTTGTCCTTATCGTCATTTTGGAACACAGTGCCCATCTGAAATTCTAACCAGCACATCCCGCCGTAACCAGGCGCTGTGCTGTGTTTCACGTCTCTGCCTCTGTCGTCACTTTGGAGACTTAGCTAGCTTAGCATTGAAGAAAGCCAAACTGCCAAAGCGTAGGTGTTTTGATAGATTAAGTATAGATTAAACATTCTTAAGAATCACAGTAGCAATTTTAAAAAACAAAAGATTAAACAAATGTTCAGAAGTACTGGAAAGATTAACAGAGTTGTTTAGCAAACTCTTTAACATGTTCAATAAAATCAATGTGTAGGAAGTTTCCTGTAGTCATTTACTGAACATGCAACTCCAGCGGTCATAAGTGACTTTATAAGTGACTGGTGAGTGCTCAGAAACACTCGGAAAGTGCGACACTAGCAGGGTTTTGATGTGATAGTGACATTCTGCGGTGGAGCTTCAGGATTTGTAGGAAGGTTTCATTTCTCCCAGGTGGGAGTCCTGTACTGATTTCCTACAGTGGACACCGACACCCGGGGGTCTTGGCTTTGATGCAGGTTGATGCAGGCAGTGGTTACCTCTAAGCTCGCTCAGACAGTGCTGTGTTGTCAGTATCATCACAGAAAACCGGTATAGATTCTGTGGTCCATTAACATCTTCGTGATGTTTTCAAAACCGAATACGAAACATCTGTAATTATAACACATACAGAAATCCACATGCAAAAAGGCACAAGCGACTAATTAGGGTACATATAGAATTCCATCTAGATCGCTTTTACCCTAATGTCTTGATGAAGTATTGGAGTAGAATCACCTCCAACAGAACTAAATGTTCTATGGTTATAAAAGAATGTATTTATTTACAACATTGCTTTTATTTTGAAAAGCTTCTTAATTAATTTGATTAACAAATATGCTAATTGGGGGGAGTCTAGAGAAGATTATTGTTGAAATTTTGCAAATATAAACCTCTTATTTGGATACTGTGTTGTTTCTGCCTTCTTAACACTATTATGTTCATGTTTGCACATTACCGAGAGAGTAAAGATAGTGAAAAGCACTTTTCTCGTTCTCTTTCATTGTGAGTTAACTGGAAAAGGATACAGAATGAAAATGGGTTATGAGATGAAAAATACCTTTAAGCCAGCATGGTGGTGCACACCTGCAATCCCAGCACTCTGGGAGGCTGAGGCAGGAGGATTGCAAGCCTGAGCAACATAGCAGACCCTGTCTCAAAATTAAAAATATAAAAGGGCTGGGGATATAGCTCAACACAAAAGGGTTCAGTACCCTGCACAAAAGGAAAAGAAGAGGAGAGAAATGTTGAAAACATCTTGAAGGTTAGTCCCATAGGCTGGCCAGCTGCCCTGAAATGACCCTGCCGTGTAGACCTCCGCCCCAGAGCCCACCAAGCTCCCGCAGTTCCACCGTGTCTGGAAGACAGTTCTGTACCCTCGCTAGCTTCCCTGCGGGGAGGCAGTTGAGTCCCTGTGCTGAGAAAGATTGGATACATAGACGGACAGAGATCCCAGCCCCCCGGGCACCTGTCCTCCTGATTCCTGGGGCTCAGCTGGGGCTCAGCTGCCGCAGCTGGGAAGACAAGCTGGAGGGCGCTGTCCTTGGCAGGCCCCTCTGCCCCCTGTGTCCCATCTGTAGCCCCCGGGGACCCTGAGGCCGTTCGGCTTCTGCCCCTCTCGGGTGGCAGGGCGGGAGACAGAGGCCGTCAGTACTTGTCCTTCCGACTCCTCAGACTGCAGCGGGGTGGTGACTCAGCATCTCCCTAACATCAGTCCGCAGCTGGGCACGGGGAGCCTCTGAGAAGTGGGAACTGAGGGGCATTCAGTCTGTGTCATGTGTGCCCAAGAGTTCACTCAGCCATTTTTGTTCGCACAATTTCAAATAAGACCATGAATCCTTTTCCATATAAGCACAAAGAGATGTATTTTTGTGACATAAAATATTAATGCTCTGTAGAAAAATGTAAAACTACCTAGGTGGTGGCACACTCCTGTAATCCCAGTGATCCTCCTGTAAACGGGAGGCTGAGGCAGGAGGACCACTGCAAATCTGAGGCCAGCCTGGGCTCCATAGTGAGTTTAAGACCAGCCTGAACTACACAGTGGGACCATGTCTCAGAAAGACCAAAAGAAAAAAAGTATAATAGAAATAAAAGCTGTCTACTATTAACATAGCTTGTCCTTATATGTAAATTGACTTTAATTTTTAATAAAAATGACTTCCTGTGGTATAAACTGTTTATAAGAGGAGTTTTAAAACTTTAACAGTTTCTCACAGATAACCATGTCAGTGAGAATAAATGTACATTGGAGCTCCCAGATTTTCTGCTGGATTTTAGTGCACATTTGTACATTTGGCCACTGAGTCTTCTTTTAAAATATTGCAGCAAACTGTGCAGTGGCTCATGCCTGTAATCCCAGCACTCAGGAGGCTGAGACAGGAGAGTCCCTGTGAGGTTGAGGCCAGCCTGGGCTACAAAGTGAGTTCAAGGTCAGCCTGAACTGCACAGTGAAACTTTGCCTCAAAAAAAGGACAAATAAATAAAATATTGATGCAGCAGACAACTTTTGAAAATCAATCAGTTCCATGAAAATTCAGTATCTTTTGACACTGGGTCTATTTTGGCAGCCGAAGGTATTCTGGCTTCTCCATCACCAGTCTGTGGCTGCATCTGCTCTCTGGGGACGTCTGCTGCCGGGGTTCCCCAGTCTTCCCTCATTACATACGTCTGGTGGCAGTGGACTTCTCAGGGTGGTGAACCCCGATCTCTCAGGAGCTGTGAAAGGGCTCAGATCATCACTAATGATGCAGTTAGTGTTCAGATTTTCATCTTCTCAAATCTACTCGGTTAAAAGCCATGTTGCTCCTTACTGTTAATCTCCAGTGAGACTGAACACATATCGACATGGTCTCAGGCTATAAATCAGCTCACCAAAATTAGCTTTTGTGCTCAAAGGGCACTGTCAAGACAATGAAAGATTCAGGTTTACAAGTCACGGCTTGATGAGAGCCCGGGACCCATGATGTGTAGAAATCTATTACACTCGCAACAGCACGATTTTGTAAAACTACAAAGGCTCTGAATTCTCCAAGGAACTTTGCAGGGTTCCAGGCACTTGGGGAGGTACTGGGTGCCAGTCTCCACTGGGGGCGCTCAGATCCTGCTGTGGTGGGGTCCCCTGGTCCCCAGCCTGGCTTAGGGAGATGCTGTGGGCTGCGGGAGGGAAGGCAGTGCTCACCACTCCGGACAGGAAGTGGGGCAGCTGGTTCAGAAGAGACCTTGGTGCTTCCTCGAAAGCTTAACCCAGTTAGGGCGTGATCCCGCCATTCTCCTGGAACTGCACTCAGGGAAGGGCAAACCTGTGTCCTCACGAAAACCTGTATACAAATGTCCACAGCAGAGCTATTCACAGGCAAAATGTAGAAGCCACCCGGATGTCCATCGGCTTATGAGAGGATCACGGAAACGTGTGTATCGGTGCAGTGGGGTGTCCCACAGTAAACAGAGCTGCAGTAGGACACATGCAATGCTATGAGGCTCGAGAACATTCGGCCAGGCACCCAGTTTTTATTCAGTGTCCAAAACGGGTCTAAGCAGGCAGAAAGCAGACTAAAGTTTGCCCGTGCACGGCGGAGGGTGGACACGCTGGCACTGGGAGGAGTTCTCTTGTGGGTGACGGAAGAGTTCTGAGTCAGACAACGAGGGAGTCATGACTGGGGACGTGTTGCAGGCCACCGAGTTACACCCTTTACAAGGGTGACTTTTAGGGCACGCGAGTGATATCTCAGAAAAAGGACTGTTAACAAGGCAGCAGAAGTGGGATGGACATCACGGGCAGTGTCCAGGCCCTGTGAACTGACCTTCAGGAGTCCGTTATGTGTGAAGCTGGAGAGAGAGGAGGAAAGGGAAAACAGGTGAGGGGACAACGCTGAAGTGTCCTCATTTCTATAAGAAGTGTAAACCTACACATCCAAGAATCTGTAAACATCTGTAAACAGGAAATGAGCAAAATCACCGCTAGTGTCTCAGGGCTCCACAGGACCCACAGGCCTCCTGAAAGCAGCAGAAGCAAGCACTGTAGATAGGAAGACAAGGAGAGGAAATCAGACAGCAGGTGGGGGGGGGCAGTCTCTACACCATTAACAAAAACACGCAGGCATTGTAATCGGAGAACTCTGTGCCCGGAGAAAGAACACTCAAAAATGAACATCAAGAAATCCAACAGGACATCTACAAGGAATCTACAGGAAAACGCTTTGGGCCGAAGGAAAGTAATGTCAGGTCAAAGCAGGGATCTATCCAAAGAGGTGACGGGACTTGAAATAGTAACTGGGGTGAAACTGTGTGGTTAACATTGTGTGCTTAATGCCCTTAAAGATAGTTTGTAAACAAAATTAGCAATGTGAAATTAGCAATGTGGAGTTCCTTGCCTGTACCGTAAAATAAAATGCAGGCTAAAAGCTCCTCACTTGCTGTGACTAGAGGAAGCCTGCAGTCAGTTAAGGATCGTACTCTTGAGTCTGTGGCTGAAGCAACAAAGCAAAGAGATGTAAGTCACCGACCAGTGCGGGGAGCAAAGTTAAATCGTAATAGGAAATGTACTCAGTTAATCCCAAGTAAGGAAGAGGGAGAGAACAAAGGGAATATACAAATGGGAAAATTAAAAAAAACCAAGGTGATTGTTTTAAAAAATCATCAATAATCACATCACTTGTTATTTATTTTTATTTTTTGTTTTTTAAAAAATATTTTAAAGAAAGAAAAAAGACAATTTAAAAACAAAATAGAAAAAACGAGAAAAAAGTATACAGAGTACAAAAAAATTAACATCATAATATTGCTAGTTGATACAGTGCATATTGTCATCTTAACAATAGGTGTTAAAGTTACAAAATCAAAGCATAAAAAGTGGCTAGACACTCAAACATTGACAGTGCAATCTCTTCTGTTCAATGATCTAATAGAAATTTAGTAACATGGTCATCTATCTTACATACTATAAGTATCGTTATATCCTTTAGAGCACTTTCTTTCCCTTTCACTTTTACAGTATTTATTATTCTTTTTGGATCACATTACACTGTCAGTTCTTACTATTTTTATACTAGAGAGACCAGGTAATATTTTCTAATGTGAGTCTTATTTATTTCACTAATGAGTATATTCTCAAGGTGCCTCCATTTAACTATAAAGGCCTCAAGATCTCCTTTTCATAGCTGAATAAGTACTCTATTGTATAAAAATACCACATTTTCTTCATCCGCTCTGTGGTTGATGGGCATTTTGGTTGTTTCCAAGATTTAGCTATCACAAATTGTGCTGCTAAGAATACGGGTGAACATACATCGCTGTGACTTGACCTTTTCAATTTTTCTGGGAAAATACCCAGGAGGGGAATAGCTTCATTGAATGGAACTTCCAATCCTAGTTTTTTGAGGAATCGCTATACTGATTTCCACAGTGGTTACACCAGCCTGAACTCCCACAAACAGTGGAGAAGCATTCCTTTTCCCCTGCATCCTCGCCAACATTTGTTATCAGTTGTTTTTTTTAAGTTTTATTTAAAAGAAAAAGAGAAAAAACAAAACAAAACAAAGCGGTGTAAGGGTACAAGTAATACAGAACTACAAAAAAAAAAAAAAAAAAACCCAGTAAGAAATCACCAGTTAATAGATTACATATTATCATCTTAGAGATAGTTGCTCAAGTCACAGAATCAAAGCATACAAAGTGGACATTCAAACAGAGAGATTGCAAACAGTTGTGTTCAATGATCCAACCAAAGACATTAATATGGTCAGCTATTCTAGCATACCTAAACACACTTGCAGTTGTATCCTTTAGAGCACTTTTTCCCCTCTCTTTTTTACAACAAAATTTACACATTTTGGGTTTTATTACTCATTAGTTCTTATTACTTTTTTTGGAAGAGAATAAAGTCAAATATGGCAAAACAAAGCTGTCAGTCAAAACCAAGGATAGACATAGTACATGATGTAAAAACAGAGTACAAGGTTATCAACAATGGTTACCATAATCCC